TATATTTCATCAGCTAAAAAAATTGATTAAAATTTAAGTCAAAAGTAAAAAAAATTAAACCACACAACCCACAACTTTTCAACCATATATTCATCAGCTTTATTAAATCTCCTAAAAATCTGATTATAATCTCTGCCAACCAGAGGCCAACTCAAAACATCCGAACATAAAATATGTACAAGGAAATGACGAGCCTGTTCACATGCTTATTTTCTGTTCATCAATGGCTAAAAACTGATCTATTGCAAATTTTAGACCATCCAATAAAGCAACACATTCTCCTGAATGCAGTGTTATCATCCAAAAAACAATTACATACCATTTTTCATTCCTACATATGGCATCAACATTCAAATTTATATGTTCAGTCTATTGAATGGTTCAGTTGCCCCCACAAGATACATTCACCAGTCTTACAAGGTAGCATGCTCAACTGATAGAAATTATAAGACTTTTAAAGAGTCAAATATATATAAAGTGTCGTGCCAAAAAAGCAAATTATATCCAAGAATTCCAATTTATAAAAACATGATAGAAAATTTGTCTTATCGAAGAGAAAAATCCAGATAATCAACAAAAAGCTGATAGAAATTATAAGACTTTTAAAGAGTCAAGAAGCTGCATGATGTAAATACTTTATTAATATCTTCATGAGGGTGATGACTCCTCTGACAAGAAGAAAATAAATCCAAAATGCATTCTAGCTAAGGCTAATTAAAGGAACCAAATGATAAGGTGGAATAGTATTCGATGTTTTAGTAAAAGTCAAACCTAAGCATTCACACCATCAGAAACGATCCTGTTCTCATATTTCCATTTAATATAATCTGGGCGACTGTACTTTGTGATCCCCTGAAAAATCAAGATAATTTAAATAAGCAACAATGTATAAGAACTTTCAATGGTTAAGTTATTAAGCAAAGAGAAAAAATGGAACTAGAGTAAAACAAAGCTTTAATTTTTCTGTTTACCAAACACAAAATGCACCTGAACAAAATGATTGAAAAGTGAACACACTGCATCTTATCAATCTAGATTTTTCTTTACATCAATTGACAACAAAATTATCATTTACATTTACAAAATGTCCAAACTATACAAAGAGGAGTAACATCTCTGATGAGAATAACAAATGGGTAGGGGAATTTCATATTAAAGATGGATTAGATGATTCAATAAATGATTTTAAATTAGATTATTTAAATAAGATAGTGGAGATCACTGACAATTTCTATGGCCTGGAGGCAGTTTTCATGTCCTATTTGGAGACCAAGATTTAAATAAGTTTGTGCCATAGGTAAGTACAGATATTAAGTTCCTAGGATGTTTCCACTACAGCATAAATTGGACAAATTATAGGTGATGTTTCCATTTGTCCGGAAATATAACATTCGACAGCATAAATTGGACAAATTATAGGCTGATGATCCGGGCGAAGAGAACTCAGAGCAGTCACTGGACTCTGGAGTCTGGAGAGTCCGTGGTCTGCAGAGGCCGGAGCGGGAGAACGGCGGAGCCGGAGGCTGGAGTGTGGAGAAAAATCC